TGATAATGCTTCTCACTTTTTAAAATCAGAAAATAGTATCAAATAACATTCTTTGCTAAATTTAGAATTAAACTTGAATAATACTCTTTAAAAATAATAAATTTGTTATAAGATGAATTTTGCCACGGTGACTTTCATCAGGTGAACTATAGAAAATATATCGCTTTTTATTATAGTAGCTTAAATATACCCATGCCTTATTGAGTGTTGCTACAAATTTCCATTTATCAGCAGATATGCTTCTTTTATATATTTTTTCAGTTTGTTTTTCTTTACTGAATATGCTTTGGCAAAAGAAGATGAATTTTATGTTTAGACACCTTGCTGGACTTCAAATCTTTACGAATGATTTTATTTACAGTGCCAGAACACATTCTTAGTTCCGATGGATTATTGAGTCCATGCAGTTTCATTCAGGATCAGAGAATTCACTTTTCTGATATTTACCCACATTCGGACGAATATCCTTCAGCGGCCATTAATTCCTTTTTACTTTCTAATGGAACACTTTTCTCTTTCAAATTTATTATATACAAAATCTTTTTCTTTGAAATACAATATCCCTGAATTTTGGTCTGCTCTGTGATTTTGGTGAAAAGAATATTTTTCCTCGATTTGGTTTTGGTTTGGTTGTTTTAATTATGGCAACGCATATAAGGACATGAGGAAAACCATTAAAACGCTCATGTAGCCAGCCTGTTCGCCTGGAATCAAACCCAGGTCGAAACTACCAGTGTTCAGCGACTTTACAATGAGGCCACTGGTGGGCTATTTTTCCTGGGAAAATGGTATTACCTAATTTTCAAGCCATCTGTCAATTTTAGGTCCAATCAAGACAAAACAGCATCAGACGATTACATTGAAAATTCCAATTGAAAATTGTTTGTGAAAGATCTTTGCAAGAGTTTCAGGAGAAAATAAGAAAAGAATTTGATTGATGACCTATAAAAAGTAACTTATAATAAATATTTCAGTAAGAATTTGTTACATATTTATTGCAGTTGATGAAATAAAATATGAACTTTTTAAATTTCTTATAACTAGAAATTTTATGTGTTTTGTCTCGCATGAGGATTTATTGCACTTATGATTTCATACTTAGATTTGAGCAGAAAATAATTCAAATTTTCAATACAAAAGGTATACCAGGAACAAATACGTTGTAATCTGAGCCTCAAAATCTTTTGAATCCCCTAAAATCGCAATTTTTAAATGCAATATAGTTTTCCAAAATTCAAAAATAATAGTATAAAGCGATTCTATTTTCAAGCTTTCCAACGTACATGTCGTAAACTATTCTGTCACACGCAGATTTCTTAGTACTCAAACCATATACGAAAATATCTACTACACAAAAAAATATTTAAATCTTACTGGGAAATGTGATGGATATATATGTAAACAAAATAGGTACTTCAGTGGAACTCGCAAATTATTGAATGTCGTGGCGCCGATATCGCTATGGAAATATCTTTCTTACAAATGCATCCTCGAAATACCTTATTTGTGTTACATTTGAGCAAGCTGATGAAATTCCGCCTTCATATCGGCGAAATATTGGGTTCTTTTGTGTGTATTTCCATAACTACTCTTGAAGTAACAGCTACTTCTTTCCCTCCAGACAGGATAAATCGAATCTAAGATTTGAATGTGACTCCTTTTCACAGCAGCTATATAGCAAAAACATGATGTGACATACAAAAGAAACGTTAGGTTCATCATCTTTTTTTCGTCAAAGAAAAAAAAATCGATTTAAAATGGGAATATAACGACGTGGACCCCGCGCTTAGGTTAGGGGGGTGATGGCTTCATGTGAGCCCTTCCTCAATCTTCCAGGTAGAAATCCATTTCTTTAAGAAATATATTCTTTGTGCCAGTTTAAATATCCAATGGCGTTTGAATGCTTTTGTCCTAAGGGTATCTTGATGGATTTTTAAATGCTTGCTTTTAAAAGATATAAATAAAATTTTATAAGAACAGGTTCTCGACAGGGTGCGATCATCAATCTGCAACGTAATTTAAATAGTTTTTTCACTTTATTTTACTTTTTTATTTAAAAATATCTGACTACTGACAGTTATTTTAAAATATCTGAATACTGGCACTCTTTCATGCGTTAAAGATTCCTAAGCTTTTCATTTTTTTCGTAATATTTAGTTGTTGGATTGACATGACCGGATACTTGCAACTTAATGTAATCGACGGGAAAATCCGATATATAACTGTCATTTAACGTTTTTATCATCGAGTACGTTACCCAAGGTGCGCCAGAAGAAACCGACCGATGTTACACATGCAAAAACTCGGAAGTTCCCCGTACATATGATAGAGAACAACCCAAGAGATGGATCTTAGTGTTCCTAATGATCTTTCTGTACCTCCAAACCCCTCGACAGGTTGCTAGTATTTCAAGTGACCCTATGCTTCCTCGTTTGCTAGTATTTCAAGTGACCCTATGCCGCACATTCACCATACACTTATAAGCATCCTATCAAAATGTATTATGCCAGAATTTCTCCAAAAACCTAACTTTAAGATTCACGCTTTTTAACAACAATGTTAAATACTTTGAAATCACAGGTTTAAACTTTTCTCGTTTTTCTCATGCCCCCAAATTCACATTAAGAACAACTTCATTTCAATAAAAGTAAGTTTATTAATTATGGAAAATTGATGAAACACAACGAAATTTCGCTATTTATGAAAATTTTCCAGGCGATGAGCAAACGGAAGATATACTTTTATGTGAAAACTTTTTATTTCATGTTGAATATAACTGGACGATAGGCAACTTCTCCAAGGTAAGCGGAAGAAGTGTTTTTTTTTTTTTTTTTTTTTTTTTTTTTTAATTCAGTCTACCCTACTGTATAAATTTCTAATATTACATTACAAATAACTAAATATTCAGTAAAAGTAATTTTTTTGCAGGAAATTGATGAATGAATATATCAGGAAGCGAAACGTATTTCCAGAAGCTTTTATCTGTTTTTTTAATAGAAATAATACTATTTGATAATTAGAGTAAAACGAAAGCATTCAAAGTATTAGAAGAGACAAAAACTAACAAAGTCTGTTAATCAAAAGTTAACCGGTAATGTGTCTTACTACAAGTTTTTTAATCAAGCTAAAATTTTATGGTAAATTAGAGGAACTTACATTACGTTAAAAAAGGAAAGTTTTGACAAAGCAATATAAATCATTAACTTGAAAATTTACCACATAATTCAATGTACAAAAATGTGTTAGGATTATTTAGCATTCATTTTCAAAAATTCAAGAAAATTTCATTATGGCCTACGTTTTAAAATTTATTGTTGATTTATTAAAAACTAAAAGACTGTGGTTTTTAATTTGCTTGGCTATCATGCAAAGTGTCTAAAGTCTTGGTAAACGATAAGCGAATTATCGCTAAATCTAAAATTCGCAACTGAAATTTGGGAATTTATATAAAACTGAATTGGAAAAGAAGGTAGACTTTGTGCTCAGAACTCAGCCAATCACTCGTGGCGAGGTAACTTAATGTAACAGTAAATCAAATGCGAAATTTAAATTCAAATAAGCTAGCAGCCTAAAGCTACACAATCAATTTAACGCGAAGTTGACCCCAAACGTAACCGGCATGGAATTTAACTATCAGCAGTTATAATGCAAGGCTGAAAACAATAATTCTCATCTAAGAAAGCAACCTAGTAACGCGGCTACGAGAGGCGAAACACCCTCTGGTCTTACAGACTGAAAGAGCCAGTTTTCCTTCGAAAGTCCTCCACGAAGGCATACCTCCGTTTTGGCAGATAACCCTCGAGGCTTTGCCATAATCACACGCACACACTTACAATCTGAAAATCTTATCTTAAGTACACTTGAACTAAATTGCATTTTGGAGGGAAAACGGAAAAGATGATATTTTTTTTATTTGAAAACATAGACTCTCCGTGCACCACAGATGTACAACACGGGGTTTACTGAAGTAAGTTAACTAAAACTTTAAAAGTTACATGCATAAATAAAACGAACAAAAGCAGAAAACAGCAGTCTGGACAAAGTATGATATTTCAGATGCAAAACATAAAATAATTGGTTAATTAACATTAAAGAGCCTCAAAAGGTAACCAATAAAATTTTCATACTAAGGAAAGAATTAGTATTTCTTCAATCTTGTTTGACATGAGACCTAAGTAATGTAATGTATTTGCCTTGCTACGCTACCAACATAATACCAGTAAGAAATGTAAAAGAACCTCGCTCATTACAGTAACTACCTTCATTACAGGAACTACAATCATCCACGAGAAACACTAAGTATTTAATTATCAAACCTTTACAAGTAAACCTTGTTTATATTTTCGAATTATCTGTAATGTTATATTAAAGTAATTTGTTTATAGCATTGCACTGAATTTTGTTTTCAGAATAAATCGACAGTTATTTGCACACAATTTTCTGCTATTTTTCGTTACTCCATAAGCATCGATGTACGATTAAAAGTTATTAATATGCGACATCATTCCAAACATTACGTAAGTGTTGCCAGGCACTCCTCGATCAAATCGGTTTTAAAAAAATATTGCTTTAGTTTACTTTTAGGACAGTAATGAGTTAATAGGACAGTGATGTGTCCTATACTTTTAGGACAGTAATGAGAATAGGTTTTTTATGAATATGTATGCTTCCTTTATTTCGTCTCACTTACTACTATGGCATCCTTTTATTGCAAAGCATCATCTAGTCACAGGAAAGCAAATTTTAGTGAATTTCTCGAATTAGCCTGTCAAAAAAAATAAAAAAATGTCTTTGGAAATATTCGTATTTCTCATGTTATCCAACTTCAAGTTCAGACCTTTTACAATGATTTACGTACACAATTTACTCCATTAATTATAGACCAAACTTAAATATTTTCATGTTAACATTCCGTATCAATAATAATGTTTTCTCAATAAAACTAGATTTTATCATTTCATTATAGTTTAAAGCACCAAACCTAAAGGAAAATTACTCACATTGCACATTGAGAATAATAGTTGCATTTGAAGTACCCTCCTCATTCTCAGCCATGCACACATATGTCCCTCCATCCTTTCGCACGACGTTCATAATGAAGAGTGTTGGACCAGAAGACATCACCCTATGCATGTGATCGTCCATCTCCGAAACAGGCGGTATTAATGAAGAATCTTTTGTCCAAGAAAACCAGGCCACAGGTGGATAGGCGTATACGCTGATGTTAATAGTAGCATTAGTGCCTTCTATCACATCAATTCTTTGGTATGCATCTGGAAACTCTGGTTTATCTAAAAAAAATGACAGTAACAGTAAAGATGCATATTTAATGACAGTCTTACAGTGACTATTGTGAGAAGTATTTTTATCAAACAGTAAAATGAATAAACTTTACTATGAAACTGGGATCCTTTTATGTTATTGAGGAATAAAATGTGCATTATATACTTAAATCAAAAGTTCGCGAACTCTAATCCAAAAACTTTGATATGTTGTTACGAAACGTCCAGCTGTGGTTGGATAGCTTTCCCGCAAGGCGGGTTTAGGGTTGACAGAAAATGACAAGGGAAGACAGGGTTGCCAGTTTTGGCATGAAATTGCCCATTTGGCGACAAAATTCGCGATATGCAATAGACGGATAGATACCATTTTAGAACGAATTCTTACCGGTTTGACCCAGAATGTTCTCGAAGACAGGCCAAAAGCTATATATACCTTATGCGAAGTAGCAGTCTAATGTCGAGTTGGTCGTCGAGTCTATCGCGAGTTGATGCATTGAGAGTGTGCATCGTTGAGGCTATCGAGTACATCGCGAGTTGTGGCGCGGAGAGTTTCAAGAGTACGCTGAGTTTCGAGAACGACCGCACCAAGTCAGGAGCTGTACTCTAGTGCTTTGCCGTGAAGCTGTCTTCACCGTTATAGCCTGATATCTTGAAGGCTGTGTTGCTTATTGTTTCAGCGTGTTTGCCGTAGTTTTCCGACGACTGTAAACGTATCTTTGGATCCCTCCTGCGAAATACTCGCGAATAAATTGTGTTTTCATTCTTCATCAAGTATTGTCGTTAATCACTTCAAATCCATAAACCCGTACAGAAACGCAACAATGTTTTGTTTTAAGCGTCTAATATAAAGCCGTCATATAAATAAAGGTGTAAGATTAAAAAACTGATAGAAGCGCCAAGTATGCGAACTTCGCAAAATGTGGTCTTCGGCGCAGAAGCGCCAGTGAAGAAATTTCGCTAAAATCGGCAGTTGAGGAAGGAGAGGTGTGTGTGGGTTTGGATCGGCATATTCTGCCGATGTACTAATATGTAAAATTTAGTTATTATATCTGTGTGTGTGTAATAAATAAAATTACGTTATCGTGAAGGTAGTATTTTTATTATTGATCGACCATTTATTACAAATTATTGAGTTTTTGTATGCCATGGATGATGCAATTTTAAAACCGAACGTAGAATTTCAAGTGTTCTTCAAGTGTGTGGGTAGTGGTCATCTTTCTGAGGATAAAATGAAAGGTAAACTTTATTGGGGCAGCTCCTTATAGGATCAAAAAATCTTTGGATACCTGCGGAAATCCAGGAGGTGAGAGATCAAAGTTTTAGTTTTCCTGCACACGATGATTTCAGTTATTGTGCCATGTTGTTAATTCTGGTTTAGATTCTAAATAAAATATGTTTACTTTTGGCTTATGTAATACAAGTAATTATAATTGAAAATTACATCAAATGTTGTGGAAATTGATATTTTTAGAAAAGTGTTACTTAATTTGAAATATCGTTAAGGTTTGCCATTTTATTTCACACATTTTGGAATTGTAATAAGTTGCAAGTATTACTTGTTCTAAATGAATGGTTTGAAATATTAATAAAGTTAGCCATTTGTATTCATTAAAATTGTCATAAATTATACATATTACTTCTGATTATTTATGAGATTAATTAAAATAATCTAGTTATTCTTATTAATTCTGAGAATGTTTTAGAGTGTTTTCTTCTAAAGTAAAATATACGAGTGATTATTGATTGATGTGAATAAGCAATAATTGCATAAATTCTAAATGTGAAAAACCGATAATTTTAATAAAGTGCTGGATGAATCAGCTACTATCGTGTATACTATCAGCTACTATCAATATAAATAAAGTTGGAATAAAGATAAACAAAAAGTAATTTTTGTAGAAGGTACTAATTAATGATCAGTTTGGTTTTCAATACATATCATGATGATGCCTGTTTCTCTCCAACGTAGCTCAATTTATTGCTTAATATATCACGCATGGTTATTAATACTTTAGTTCCTCCGCGTTTATAGCTAGGAACTTGCTTCTAGCACAGAAAACCTCTCTTCTTGTGTGAGATTCGCGGTGCGTAAACTCCTATCTACTTATTCTTCATTGATTATTGATCATGGGTGCCCCTGTGAACGCTTTACCAAAGATCAGTCAGATTTACCCTAAACAGCAATACTGGTAAATATTTGATTGCCAAAATTAACAGTATTAGTATTAACAATGATGAGAATGCAAGAACTTCTGAATTACATAGTATTTCAGTATCAGTTTATAATATTTCTCCTTATATTATATTTTATCATATCCTATATAGTATTTTATGGATTAATTAATGTGTATATTGGGTAGATTAATTACAATAACTACTAAGTTCCAAATGAGCTGATCTGTAATTGCCAGCTCAGAAACAGCCAAGTTCTTTTTAGAACTATTCATCTTATATGAGAAATGCGGGAAACTAGGCAGGGCTATCATATACATGGTAGTTTGCGGAATATATTTCTTGTACATTAAATGAAAATGTGGTATTTTAGACGTTGGATATCAATTCCTTCATTAGAGAGAAGTGTATAACTTAACATCTTATATGAGAAATGCGGGAAACTAGGCAGGGCTTTAAGTAGTATGTTCGATGTTATGCAAATTGTATTTCTTTCTTTGTACCGAAAAGCGGCGCAGACGCAAATTTGTTAGGTTTTTAAAGCTCGCGTTTAGAGCTTTGAGGTTGCTGTGAATTACTGGAGTTTCAACTAAGCAGAGGTTCTTCTGAGTTTGTGTTGGTAAGCCGCCACTGAAGTCGGAGTTTGTGTGGTCTTCGCCGTTCCTCAACTAACTTACTTTGAAAGTCAATAAAGAAGTTTCGGTCAACGTTATGATTCTGAGGTTTTTGGGTTCTATACTGAAGTAATATCAAGTCAATTTACAGTCCACTATTTTTAACAACGGAACGTACATGTTTATTGGTCCGTCGAGCCGGAGTCGCAGTAAATTTGGTGAGACAGTGTGTTTTTTTTTATCTTTCTTATTAGAGAATGGAATTTACAACGCTTAAGACTAAAAAGCGTGTTGCTGAAGCTAAGTTAAGTAAACTGAAAGAGAAAATTACAGTGACTTACGATTCTGCTGATGTTGATCAAATAGAACTTTTTAAAACTTTTTAAATCTAGATTAAATAATTTAATGACCGAAACTTTCGGATATTTTAGTAACATATTTGTAGTGTGTGAAGAAAAAAGATATTGATGTATTTATAGAAGAACAACAGGTCATACAAGATACTGTTGATGAGTTAATTTTAATGCTAACCAGAGTTAAGAATGTTAAAGACATTAGTGTGGAAACTAAATCTTGTGAAATAGCGAGTATACGCTTACCTAAGCTAACTCTTCCTGTATTTAGTGGCAGTACTGAAGAATGGTTATCATTTTTTGATTTATTTAAAATTTAAAACGGCGATAGTGGATAATGACCGTTTATCAGGTTATCAGGTGCACAAAAGCTACAATATTTAAAGGGTTCTTTAAAGGGAGAGATGCTTTGCGGATTGTTCAAGCTTTAACTATTTGTGACAGGAATTTCGAAATAGCGTGGCATTTATTGTGTCAAAGATTTTCACATAAGAGAGAATTACTTTCATCGTTATTAAAGAAAATCTTGTATTTATCAAATTTACAATCTGAAATTCCTAGTCAGATATTAGCGTTAGTAGACACTGTAAGAGAGTGTGTATGTTCGTTTGAAAATCTAGGCTTCAAAGTGGAACAATTCGCGGATACTATTTTAATGTTAATAGTACAGTTTAAATTGGATTCTTCGACGAGAGGATGGTGGGAAAGAACATTAAAGCAGTGAGGAAATACCAACACTTAATAATCTGCTAGAGTTCTTGAAATCTCATGACCAGAACCTTGCAAGCAGGTAAAACGCAAGGTGTTAAAAAAAAGTTACAAAAGACAAATTAACTTCATTGGCTTCGGAGATTCGCGCGCAGTGTACGTATTGTAAAGCCGGTCATTCAGTTTTTTAAATGTAATAAGTTTTTAAATCTGAATGTTCAGGAACGCGTTAATTTTGTCAAGAGAAATAATGTTTGTTTTAATTGTTTGGTTTCAAATCATAAAGCTTTCGAGTGTAGAAGTACACATAAATGTAAAAAGTGCTTTAAAAAAATCATCACACACTACTGCATTTCGAAAGAGTTCAAAATGAACCAAAGGCACGTAAAGGAGTTACGAACAGTTCGAATGAATTATCAGTGACGTCTAAGCTAAGCCATTTTTTCCCTGGGCCAGAACCTCGCGCTCAATCGGCTGGGTCAGGGGAGAATATCGCAAGTTCTAGTCCAGTAATTAAATCTTGTGTTTCAGACTTTAATTTTCAGAGTGAAGTTTTATTATGTACGGCTGTGATTAAAGTGTTAGATTCATCGGGTGAATACCAATTGTGTAGAGCCCTCCTTGACCCTGGCAGTCAAGCAAGCCTGATTTCAGAAGATTGTGTACAAAGGCTAGGGTTAGCAAGAAGAAATGCCAAAGTTTTTATTTCATGTTTAGGGTCTTTGGATAAGGAAAACTAATGGAATTACGGAAATAAACTTCGTTCCGCATTTTCCGGCGAAAGTGTCATTTAAAACACCAGTATTTATCATCAATAGAATTATTGGAACTTTGCCGCATTTTACATTGGATAAGAAGTACGTTGAGGAATATAATGATTTAATGTTAGCAGATCCAACATTTTACAAAAGTGGGCCTGTTGATATACTTTTAGGCGTAGATATTGCCTTACCTCTTTTAAAGGGAGAAATAATTAAATGCGAAGAAGGTAAACCGGTAGCTTCTCGTTCTGAACTAGGATGGATTATTTCAGGTAGTGTGAATAATTCAACAGAAATTAATCCTACTATCTATCTATGTTAATAATACAAGTGGAAACTGATCAGATGCTGTCTGACTTTTGGAAATTGGATGCTGTACCTACGTGTTGACATGCTTACTAAATCGGAGAGAGCATGTGAAGATTACTTTCAAATCTACATATACGAGAGAGAGGAAAGTGGGGCATATACTGTGAAATTACCGTTTCACTCTCCGCCTCTCCGCCTTCTCAGCTTGGAGATTCCAGACAATTAGCTATGCGTAGATTCCAATCTTTAGAAAATTCACTTCTAAAAAGGCCTCAGATATATGAACAGTATAAGGATTTCATGAGGGAATACCTTGAGCTGAGACATATGGAGGGAGTGCCTGAGGGAGAGATTCTTATTGACTCTACGTATTACATGCCCTCATCATGCCGTATTAAAGGAATCAAGTACTACGACTAAACTGAGAGTTGTTTTTCGATGCTTCAACTAAAACGACATCGGGTCTTTCATTGAATGATATTTTGATGGTTGGGCCAAGAGTTCAGCAAGAGCTGTTTCCAATTCTTCTACGGTTTAGAACTTACAAAAATTGCAGTATGTGCCGATGTAGAGAGAAGATGTTCAGACAAATTCGTGTCCACCCAGAAGATACAAATTGGCAACGAATGCTTTGGAGGGATAGTCCTAGTGAGCCCTTGAGTACATTTAGATTAGTGACAGTTACATATGGGACTGCCTGTGCGCCATATTTGTCTACTAGAGTAATGAAACAACTTGCATTAGATGAACAAGTGAGATTTCCTTTAGCATCAAAAATTGCCCTTCGTGATTTTTATGTTGATGATTTGCTTTCAGGGGCACAAAGTGAAGAGGAAGCGAATGTTCTAGTTCAGCAGTTGAATGAAATGATGAAAAGGGTGGATTTCGCTTAAGGAAGTGGATTTCAAACAGTTCAGCTATTTTAGAGAATATTCTCGAGTGCTTACGAGAATACAGTATTTCTCTTGAAATAAACAATGACAAGAAAGTAAAAGTATTGGGAATTAATTGGAACAACTCTAGTGATACGTTTCATTTTTCGATATGCATAAGTGATAAAGATATGCATAACTAAGAGGACTATTTTATCGGAAGTAGCCAAAATCTTTGATCCAATGGGATGGTTAGCGCCAACAATAATATACGCGAAAATATTATTACAAGAATTATGGAACTTACAGCTGGGTTGGGATGAACTCGTTGATAAGAGAATAAGTAGAAAAATGGAAGCGTTTCTATCTAGAATTGCCCTTACTTTCAAGCTTACAATTTCCGAGGTATGTCTTGAGTCCGAAGGCAGTAGTTATAGAAATCCATGCTTTCTGCGACGCTTCAGAAAAGGCTTATTGTGCAGTCATCTATCTCCGTACAATCGACCTTGATTCGTCAGTCAAAGTCAGCCTTCTGACATCGAAAACCAGAGTAGCGCCCTTAAAAACCCAGTCTCTTCCGAGACTAGAGTTGTGTGCTGCGTTACTTTTAACCAACCTCTTACATGCAGTATTATCATGCATAGAACTGCCTATTAACAATATTTACGCATGGACCGACTCGCGGGTTACATTGGCATGGGTCTCGTCCGAACCTCGCCGTTGGCTACCTTTTGTGGCAAATCGAGTTGCAAAAATCCAGGAAGCTGTTCCAGGTATTCAATGGAATTATGTTGCTGGGGAAAGAAAATCCTGCAGACTGTGGGACCAGAGGTTTTATTCCATCAGAATTCTTACAATGTGAGTTATGGATGAAGGGACCGCAGTGGTTAAACGAATCCCTAATTCATGTACAGCAAAAGCAAAATTCAAGTGTAGAATTAGAGGGTGAGGTTATGTTGAAGGAATTGAAAAAAAGAGTTTCAGTTCAAAATGTTTCCAAATTTGAAGAGCCTAGTGTGTTTTCAGTGCGTTTTCAAGATTTTCATCATGGTTAAAGTTATGTCGAGTGTTAGCGTGGTGTTTAAAATAAATTTTTAGATTTAGCAGAAATAATTGTGTAGTAAGTTACCTACAGAGCGTATAAAGGGTTATTTATCTACTGAAGAGTTCTGTGAAGTTACTTTTATGATTGTTAGGATTGTGCAAAGAGCCGAATTTCCAGAAGAATTATGACATCAAGTATATTACTGTCTTTAAGTCCTTTCTTGGATTCCGCGGGAGTAATGCGTGTAGGCGGAAGGCTCAGAAACTCTACAGTTTCAAATAATCAGAAACATCCTATGATTTTACCTAAGAATCACAATATTACGCGTTTAATTATTAAGCATTATCATGAAAGTATCTTCACGCAGGTACGCAGCTACTCACTTCTGTCATACGACATAGATTTTGGATTGTGAATGCTAGAGATATTATAAGAAAGTGTATAAACCAATGTGTTATCTATCTGCCGTAGAGTTAGAGTTAGAGCGCAAACTGCAACTCAGCTAATGGCAGATTTACCCGCTTCAAGAGTTACTCAAAGTAGAGCTTTTTCTCGTGTAGGGATTGATTTAGCAGGACCATTTAACGTTAAAATATCGTCCTGGTAGAGGAGTCAAAATCTTTAAGTGTTACGTATGTCTATTTATTTGTTTTACTACAAGAGCAATACACTTAGAATTAGTTGGAGATCTTTCAACAAAATCATTCCTCGCGACACACTTAAGCGGTTTATAGCTCGTAGAGGCAAACCGTGTGAAATTCACAGTGATTGTGCAACGAATTTTATAGGAGCTAATAAAGAATTAAGGAAAGCCTTTTATATTGTTCAACGTGATGAACAGCTACAGGGTTATATTTCTTCAGAAAATATTAAATGGTTATTTAATCCTCCCCTCTGCCCCTCATTTTGGAGGGCTTTGGGAAGCGGGTATCAAGTCTATGAAACATCACTTAAAAAGATGTTTAGGAACACTTATTTTAAACATACGAGGAATTTTTGACATTAATAACCCAAATTGAATCCTGTCTTAATTCTAGGCCTTTGGTACCAGCTTCAAGTGATGATTGTAGCGACTTGGAGGTGATAACACCAGGACACTTTTTAACCCGGAGCGGCTTTAAAGCGCTATTCCAGAATTTAACCAAAAATTCAAGAAACCATGAGCTGCAGTGACCGTTGGAGGAACGTGCAAAGGTTATTTCAACATTTCTGGAATCGATGGAGCAGTGAGTATTTATCTAGATTGCAGCAGAGACCCAAGTGGTGCACGTTACAACAAGATCTGAAGATTGGTGATATGGTTCTTATTAAGAACGAAAATCTACCTCCGCTACGTTGGAAATTAGGTAGAATTATCAAAGTGTATCCTGGTCTGGATGAGAAAGTTCGAGTGGTGAGTTTACGCACGTCTAATGGTGAAATAAAACGACCTATAGCAAAGCTATGTGCTTTGCCATTTAATTCCTGATTTAGAGACTTTAATTTTTATTTTTCAGGTTTATGCAGTTCAACAGTTTAAATTTATTGTTTGAACCCCCTTGGGACTTCAAAGCTGGGGGTATGTTCGATGTTATGCAAATTGTATTTCTTTCTTTGTATTTCTTTCTTTGTACCGAGGAGCGGCGCAGACGCAAATTTGTTAGGTTTTTAAAGCTCGCGTTTTAGAGCTTTGAGGTTGCTGTGAATTACTGGAGTTTCAACTAAGCAGAGGTTTCTCTGAGTTTGTGTTGGAGTTTGTGTTGGTAAGCCGCCACTGAAGTCGGAGTTTGTGTGGTCTTCGCCGTTCCTCAACTAACTTACTTTGAAAGTCAATAAAGAAGTTTCGGTCAACGTTATGATTCTGAGGTTTTTTGGGTTATATACTGAAGTAATATCAAGTCAATTTACAGTCCACTATTTTTAACAACGGAACGTACATAGTGTATCATATACATGGAAGCATGCGGAATAGATTTCTTGTACATTAAATGAAAATGTGGTATTTTAGGCGTTGGATATCAATTCCTTCATTAGAGGCAAGTGTATAACTTAACCAACTGAATTATTACATCTTTGGTAATGTAAAAATTCAATACAGTATGAATTTATGTTTCATATGTTATATTCTTTCTCTTTGACGAAATTTTATAATTTGAATATTCATTTGCTTTCTCTATAGTTTCCGTTACCACTACCAATATTTCCTTTACTACTACTTTCGAATATGCCTCATGCACTTTGATTACAGTGAATGCAAAAATTGACACTTACGTCTAACGCGTATCGTGACGTTACTTATTACAGCAGGAAGATCATCACTCTTAGCTTTGCATTCGAAAACAGACTTATCATCTGCAGATGTGACGGAAAATGTGAGGACGCTTCGTGTAGAAATGGCACCATACTCGGCACTCAACGTCTCCTCCACGTGATCACGCACGTGACGTCCATCTCTCTTCCACGAGATGCGGGCGAGGGGATTACTACTACTAGATGTGCACGCTAGAGTTACCTGCCATATACAAAAATGTTAACAATAAATAGGATAGAAGAGTACATAAAATAATTTAAATTTTAAAGAAATGAATCATCAAATTGGAACATGAATTTACCTTTTATTTATATTTTATACATATACTTTTTTACTAATTTATTAATGGAACGAATATTGCATTTCTACTGTTTATTTTATGATACCTAAATGTTTAAAAAATTAATGAAGTATCAGTATTCAAACAAATGTAAAGAAGCGTTAAAGGGCTAAATTCATTTATTATTTTAGAATAACTTTCATTAAGAAATTAAATTTCAAATTTTACTGATTATGTGAGTAATATTATTAATTATATGTAGATATATTTAATAATATTACACACATAATTAATAAAGTCTGAGTAAATTTTACAACAATATAGATGACGTAATAAATGTTAACTATTACAGATGATTCATGAGGAGCTTAATGCAGTCGACTCAGGTAGGACATATTTTGCTCTTGATCAAACATTTTTGATCGAGAGACAGCTAAATTTTGGCAGAATGCACGCTTGTTCATGAATAACGTTTTTCCAATTTTATGACATAAGTAAAATTTTATGATGTATTTTCAGAAGAAAAGTGACGACTATAAACTAAAAGAAGGGAAAAGCAGAGAAATAATACTACAGAATTTATTAACACTAGGAAAATCATATCGCAGTTCATAGCAAAGAGTTGTACAGTCAAGACAACTTAACAATCCTTAAAGTCATCCGGTTCTCTTTAGAAACTTGACTGTACATGATATACTTACACGATAAACAATATTCCACCAATAAACACCCGAAAAACAAGATCCCAGCGTCTCTCCCATAGGCGCACTCTTTCAGTTTTTACTTCCTTGTACGAAGTAAAAAGGAAATATTGTAATCGCGAAAAGTTTCAGGCAGCATATTTTGAACGAAAATATCCATTTTGACCGTTATCGAATGCAATTTAACGATGTTTTTGCTTGATGTCTGTACGTAAGGACAGAATAAAATACTCTTTTCCTTCAAAAATATATATATATATATATATATATATAAAACTGCTTTAAAATAAATTCTGAAGAGAATTTTTCGTGGCGTCTGTACGAACGTATGTACGTACGTATCTCGCATCTCGCAACTCAAAAGCGAGTAGCCTCAGAACGTTGAAATTTTGCATATAGGACTGCTATAACATGTAGATGTGCACCTCGTATTTTTGGTTGCAATTGGCCGCACCAAACGTATATAAATATATTATATATATATCCACTCTGTTACCCGGCTCAGTAATCTCAGTTTCTTTACTCTTATATGTTTGTAAATTGTAATTTTTTTTTTGCTTTAAAAATGATTGTATTATGTTGTTTTTATATTCCGGTTAAGGTTTTTATGCGTTTAGTAAATCTGTACGCACTATTTTTAGAATTATCAACAATTTTAAAGTTGTCTAAGTGCCCCTAAGCCTTTTTTTTATGGCGGCCATTGATGTTTACATTTGAAACAAGAGACTAGTGGATATGTTGTTAATCTAGAGAAACTTAGCTTCGCAACAACAAAGATAACACATTCATTTATTATTGCCAATTAAATCATGCTTAATTCTTTCTAGAATTTTTTCGAGGAAATAAGTGTTTAAGATTTACTTCGTAATTTTTAGTATAGATATTTAATATAGAGTTTTTATGTATTTTTACCCTCTCGCGAAGTGAGAACTGAATTAATTGAATGAGAAATACTCAATCGTCTGTGAAAAACTGTTTCTTTTTTGTTTTGTTTGCTTAATTTCTTTTATACATCATTCTAGCTTTATTACAGTATTTGAATAGAACATGTGGCAACGATTAGATTATTCTATTCTTTAAATGATATAATTTTGTTGTGCATTATGAATTATAATATGAACGAAATATATAAGTTAACTGTTATATAATTATTGATTATGATTATATAACAGTTAACTTAGTTTCCGTTATATATAATTATAATATAAGTTAACTGTTATATAATTATTAATACTGTTAAGTGAATCTGGCGCCAGAGTGTCGCTATGGTAAACAAATACTAGAGTGAATTTTAAAGAATGCATTTATTCTATTGTGGTTTATGCGCTGTCGGCGAAGTAGATTTAATTCAATGCAATAAGTTTAAATGAAATGCAAGAAAAAATGCGTATAATTTAATATTCCGTACAAGGAAGTCATGTGGTGTACACATCAGATTTTTTATATTAGCAGTAAAGATACAGTTGAATAAACAATTATACAATAATATTTCAAATATTTCAAAACTTTACAAGCATGCGTATACATATATAAGATAAACATGTGAAACAAAATGCTAAGTTTAATTCTAATACTCTCTAAACTCTCCTATTAATTTGGTTACTTTTCCGTTGCTTTTTGAAATCATAACAGCTTAGAGTAAATCTTTCTAAACTCCGTTATTTCAAAAGTAAAGCTTCTCATATAATTCTTGCATAAACATGACTTATTCTTACATGACTCAGGCACTTATACAGGTTGGGCCAAATAAGACCTACCAATGTTAAACACAAATAAGTTTTTGATATAATTACTTGTTCTTTTTGTAGGTTATAATTGAATTCTTGGAAATTTATTATGGAACCTTACAATATAAAACAACGCGTTAAAATTATCGTGTTTTTCTATTTTTTTTCAACGATCAATTATTATGATGCAGAGTAAATATCGGCAATATTTTAATTGAAGTTTACTGTTTGGTGCGGTGTTATGTCCAATAGAGTTATCGGCTCATGTTTCTTCGAGAGTGAGGATGGAAAGCCGGAAACGATTTCCGGAGCTTCCTTACAGAACAATGATTGAAAACATTTTACGGCCAATGGCGGAGCAGAATCCTTTTTTTATGGGGATATTTAAAAGACAATGTGTATGTTAATAAACCAGAAACTATTAGACAGCTGAAGCAGAATATTCGAGAGGAAATGCTGAGCCTTCAACCGGAAACATTACTTGGAGTAATGGAAAACGCGTTAAATAGAGCCAATCTCTGTATTGAGAAAAATGGTGGACGTTCGTCTGATGTCATATTTCATACATAATTTCCATAAAATATATTTGATATATAAAAATATTAATCAAAATAAATTATTATTACAAGAGTTATCCGTGTTAACATTAGTAGGTCTTATTTGGCCCACCCTGTACAACGCTTCAGGTAGGAGCAGGTTTTAAAATCTGCGAATCGAATGTTAAACAAATAATCGCAATGAATCTGGGAAAAAAACTCTTAATTTATCATGAATCTGATTTTCATCTTAGATTCAATTTCATTTAAACAAATAATCGCAATGAAACTGGGAAAAAAAAAACTCTAATTTATCATGAATCTAATTTTCATCTTAGATTCAATTTCATTTCTCCTCTTGCTTCTCTATTATTAGCTTTAGCACACTGCCTGTGCTGCAGTGTCCTCTATTTAAATTAATTGTTATTAAAGGTGTAGATAAGGCGTAAATGGAATCAAGAATGGACGCACCGATAGCGTTTATTCTACTGTTAGGTATCTTGATAAAACGTGCTTTATTTTAAGAATGTTCACCATGTTACAGATGCGCTTTTTATTCGTAAAAAGTATTAAATCGGCTATTAAGAATGCTTAGGTCTTTTATGTACCGTCTTTTATTGTACCTTCCATCATTCATATACTTCTTCATCTATTCGGCTTTCACTTTCATTAATCTGTATCATTCATTACATTTAATCGAGAATTGCTGTTATCTTTATGCCTCAAAAATCCAAATTATCTGTGCATTTAAATAATTTTAATGTAATGTAAAAGTTTTTGTTTAAAAATAATAATTATAATATTCAGGACTTTCTTTCAACGATGCTAGATGTTTTCGGATATTAGGTATCGTCTTGCAACATCTTTACAGAAAATACCGCGTTATAAATTCTGCAAACGGTATGATACCTTAAATTCTGCAAGCAGTATGATAGCTTAAATTCTGCAAGCGATATGTTACCTTAAATTGGGGAAACGGTATGATACCTTAAATTTTGCAAGAGATATGATACCTTAAATTCTACATGATACCTTAAATTGTGCAAGCGGTATGATACCTTAAATTCTGCAAGCTAGACGATACCACCTTCCGCACCTCTCAAAAAATCAAAAGTAATTCTATGTCGATATACAATTTTAAAATATTCAGAAAGATTGAAAATCCCTACAAATGCAAAATATGATCATTCGTTTATTTATCAAATGTAAAAAAAATGTATGCTGTAGACGGATATTTATCGTCGAAATTAGAAAAATTATGAATTACGTTTTATGTCTGATTCAATGGTAAGAAGACGAGTGCTGTTTTCTGTTCCAATAAGAGTTCACCCATTATTTCTTAGACAGTGAAGAAACTCTTCATTTATTTCGAGCCTCATTGTAAATAAAAGCTTTGAACTTAATCTGTCTTTTAAACTTAAACCACATTTGTTTTATAAACACTTGTCACGGAAGTGTTTTATCGTTTGGATCTGTACAGCATTGCGCGGTTTTATGCTAGGGCGGTTAACAACAACGTACATTTTCACAGAGTATTGCGTGTTCTCAGATACAAAATCTTTCTTGAAAAATCTACATAAATTTGATGTTTGAAAGTGACAGATGTGTAACCGTTTCCTGAAAGGTTGGTTTTTAGTCCCTCGACTGAACAAGAAACTAAACAAGAAAATAATTTTGAAATGTTCAACGTAAGATTTTACTTACCTCATCTCCAGCCTTAGGATCACAAGGCTTTACGGTAATTGTTACATTAGAAGGAGGAACTGGAAGATAAAAAAAAAAAACAAGTTATTACATTTCCAGTTGCAGTATTTAATTCTGCAAAAAATAATTCAAATTAATTATTATTCTGAAAATTTCATCAAATAGATAAAGGAGAAAAAACTATAACTTTTAATAACATTATTTGCATATTTGAGATCATGTTTAATAACTTAAACTATAACATAATGTTTCAAAAAACGTATCTAACTTTCATTTAAAAGATTCTTTTTATTTAAAACGTTTTTGCTTGTGAAACAGGTCTGTACTAAAAACATATTTTATAAATTGTTAAAATAAAATCATGTCAAATTAAGGGAAAAGGATACGATACAAGCTGCATAGTATTACTGGTATAACGTTTACCAGTACTAACAATATATTATATGCACGTACTATCTTAATGATACTAATATATGGTATTTTGACTCTGTAATTAATTTGTTTCTTTAGAACGGCTTTGAATGTTACTTGAATGTACGACATTCTGACAGCTTAATTCTCTTTCCTTTAGATTGATTTTACTTACGTGTTTAAGCCGTCGAAGAAAAATACAGTTTTCTCAGAAAGCCAATGATGAGACCATTTAAAATGCAAGCTTGCTCTGTGTTGTAAAACAACTGCAAAGTGAATCTCGGTAATATGTATGAAGCTCGGTAATATGCAAAGTGAATCTCGGTAATATGTACGATTATATTTCGATTAATACGCTACATTAAAAATACCACCGTGAGGAATTTCACGCAAATTCAGAGAAGTACCTTTTATCAAAAGTAACACACATATTTAGTCGCATTGTCATGGAATTCAGTTAAAATATCGAATTTTTCAATTTCTAAATATTGAAGAATTTAAAATTCTAATGCACTTTTCGTTTTGGAACTTCAACAAAAAAGCATTGTTTATGTATGAATCCAGACTGATCGTAATTATAGTAATCTGTGTATATTCCAATAATGAAATATATGCATATTTACATGTATGGTACCGAATATTTAAGCAAACATATGCTTAAATTACTGAATGAATATGAATTATATAATTCATATGATTCATATAAGAAGAATATTTATCAACATGTTTGAATCTATTGCTAACAGTCATGGCATTTAGTGTTTATTTACAGCGAATAAAATCACTTTTTATGATTTATTGTAGAGGATGAAGAACATGCTTGTGTTGTGTTAAATTCGAGAAGAGCAGTAGCAAAATTCATATATTGTCACAATACGCATTTGGTGATAAGCCATTTAGGCGTACTTTATTAATTATAAATAATTATTATTAATTATTCAAGACGATACTATCTATTATTCATAACGGTAATAGATGGTCATGTGAAAACACTGAACGATGACCATATCTTGAAAAACATCTGCAGGAAGCCATGAGGACGAAATGATTGAATCTGCTTAAGAAACAGATTTTCTCTAATACAACACCTGATTGCATTTTGGTGATACTGCATTCGCAGCTATATCTGAAATCAATCTCTTAATCCTCACTAGAATGTGCTGAATATAGTCCTAGCATGCAGTTTTGGGAAGTTCTCAACGTTAAAAGGGCAATTATGCTCTAACAGTTTCCCTTTAGACAAAAATATAAAATACACTACATCTACAGAGCTAAAGAAAATTTCACAAAACAAGCTATGTCTTTTTATATATCGTTTATATATACTGGGAACATGTAATTCATAGAGAAAGCTTTTTTTGTCAAAATCCGATTCACAAATGGAGTACAAAATTTCCTCATTTTCAGATTTCAGCTAAAATTAAGTTATAATTTTCTTTGTTTATCCCCAGGATGTCTGAAAGTTGCTGAGCTGTTACATGTCTATCAGCTTTTACCAAAGAATGAATTTTCTTTACATTTCATATTTTCCTCATTCTTTGAAGCTGAAGGGTGCCCTATCTTCGGTTCACTTCAGTGCGCCCACATTTAAAGCGGTTGTATCACTCACACACTTGTGTTCTCGATAACAGTGCATGAACATATACTTTTCAAATAATTTCTAACGCTTCGGTAACAGATTTACCTAATTTATAACAAATTCGATATTATAACAGTGTTCCTTCCAGTAGGACAATTTTGCACAATTTCTTCCCAGTAAATAAAAATGAATACGGCGCTTTGATATGCAAATGATAAAACACCCAGTTCAGATGTCACTCTTATTAAATATACATTTTTTCATCTTTTTCATTTTATCGTTCAGTCTTTTAATTTGGACGATTACTTTAAGGACGCACTTTAAAAAATATTTTGCCTCACTTTATGTTTATAGATAATATAAAATAATGCAAACTGTTTTACTTAAACCAAAGTAAATTTTATGGCCTTCTAGATAAATGTACGTAGCGTTTTCATAGACTACACAAACACAAATAATTACAACAAGCGTTAAAGCAACTAAAAGACTGATTTGTATTTGATCTTGAATTTACAAAACTCATATGTTTGTCAGAAACTTAACAGGTGCGATAATGCAAAAATATTTCAAAATTAAAAACTGTATCAAATTAGAGATAAGAACACAGCTTTTATGCTATTGAGCCATCTATTGTAACGTTGTTAAAGTAAGAAAGCCAAAACTCGCCAAAACCCAACGCTGCAGAGTGGTAGGTAAAATCTTAGCGCTTCCTGATCGAAATTATGAACATTCTCTCACTTAGATGTTTCTTTTTCTTTAAACTCGATTAGTTTGCATTTCTGGTGGAATTAAAAGCGCAGTGCAGAAACGTTTTAGCATAAAAAGATTTAACGGAATTCAAATAAACTAAACCTTAAATGGTAAGGTAAATTAAATTAGATCATTAATTCTCAAAATTATTTAGATCGTAACTCATCATATCTTTCTTACTGTTTGAAGAATATTGTTTTACGTTTTAAGTTATTTTCCCTTTGTGATAAAAATATGCTTGTTTTTCTTGTGAAATACACTTTACAAATTATGGTTTTAAGATTGCCTGTGGCTGAAAGTATCGATTACGAAATCTTTTTGTATTTTTTCTTCTATTTTTTATTTTATGTTTGATATTTTGAAATGTAAACGAGCGAGAATTTAAACACAAATTAAATTTTTCTTAACATGCAATGATATCTCTAACATAAGGTGATTAAATCTTTAGGTGATTAAATCTAACGCTTTATAACAAAGAGGATTGGATATATTTAAAAGCATTTGCATAGAAATCAGATTTGTTATTTTAAATTCTTAACACATTGGATTGGAAAATGATGAAGGCATTCGTTACATCTAATTGCAGTTTTTGGCAAATGCATGCTTGAGGCTTATTTACATTAAGTCTGCTGTAAGATGTTTCGGAATGATGAATGCATCGGAACTCAAAGCAAATATCCTCAGAGACTAGTTCAAATGTCAGCTTTGGTAAATTCAGGAATTAATCTTCCTATTCGAAATGTTACGCCTCAAAGCGTACTATTGGCAGTTCCCTAAACTTTTAATGAAAGTAATACGATTAGCTTTGGGAATATTGCTTATTCGCAGATATTTCTGAGTTATACTAAATTTAGTTGTAAAATTCGTTAAATAAATATATCCAAGGTGAAATCGTCACTTATTTCAAAAGCGAGATAGTAAGTTTGAAAACATGCGTAATTTAAACAAAGGGAATTTATATACCACCCCCAGAACAGAATATTATATTGGAAATGAAGAAATACGCAGACAGTAGCTGGCGCCGACTAATACAAAGCATGAGACAATTTGCTTGACAGTTTGGAAAGCCTTTCGCTCCAAACAGTTGTTACATACTAGTATCACTAAAAATATCTGAAGAGCTATTTGTAAATTTATAGGATGCAATAATCACTAGTCTGAGAAAGGAAGTGACCAATAAATATTTGGACTTCTTACACAAAGGGGAGCTGTGTATTTTCTAAATACTGATGAAATATTTAAGTCGAAATATAGATGAGTTTTAAAAATACACAAAACATAAAATGTGCAACCAAAGAAAGATCTATTTCGTCCCCAAGTGCTTCTACTTAAATATTATGCATTATCACGAAATCCAACAAATAGTGTTTTCTTTTATATCTTCACATATTCATAATGTATAAAATGTTTGCACGGACATTGGCAACTCATTTACATAGATACTAATTAACGGTTCAGAAAAGGTACATAGGCAGGTAGGTAACATTCAGGTAGGAAACAAATCCCTTTTAGCAAAATAATTATACAAATTAAAAGTTTGTAAAGTTTCATTAAAATGATAACACGTAACCAATAGTCGTCGTAACTATGGTTTTGTGGCAATCTATACAAGGTATACTTAGTTATGTAAAATTTTAGAAATACCACATACATTTATAACATAATATAGAAAAACCTTACGTCTAAGCCTTGAATAGTTTATAGCGTAACTTAACAATACATAACAGAACATCAGGAATGTTGCTGTTTTAAATTAAGAACAAATTTCTTCGTAAATTAAAAAAAGATTTAAACTAATTTAAATACTTTATAATTAACAAATATGTATTTGTTGTTAAATAATTGTAAGCTGGGAAACGGTATTAAAATTTCAAATTTGAAATTCAAAATTCTTTATAATTTTGTCTTTCTTCTTTACCTAATTTGTAATATGAATACAAAGGATAAGAGTGATTCGTACTTGATTTTTGGAGAGGCATTTACAGTACCTTTAATAATTTAGATATTTACATATAATTCAATGTACTAAAAATAAAATAAAAGAAATAAAGAAATTTTTATTGTTTTTAAAAATTGTAATTAAAGCTAAGTTTATGCAGAAAACCTTAAAATCGACATTTTAACTACTTCGAGGAAATCTGCAGCTTTAACTGCTCAGAAGTAGCCATACATACCTAACTATCAAACATTAGGATTGCATAAAACATTTGCTAAGATACAGAGTTGGCTACAAATTAGGAAATACAGGCCAACTGAAATATTTATCAATATTATTGCCATTATTATTAGTCCAAAGTGGATTTGTCCCTGAAGGACTTTTGTTTTCGTTTTGCGATTTTGCGTTGGTTCACTAGTCTGTCAAATGTCCGTTTTACTTTTCAAACTCCTGCCACCAAATGTTAGAGTCCTGCATTATATTTGAAGAAATTAAATAATGAAAAATCTGCATAAATGTATGTATATTTCTTGCATTGTGATAACAACGGTACACAGAGCCCTCGAATTTTGAATGACGTAATCCTACTGCGAATATGGGCACGTGGAACCCCAATTGAAATTTGGAATTTGTTTTATGATCGATTTCATATTTTGTAAAACTTTAACGAATTTTTTATTAACAAACTCAAGGATTTCAAAGCGAGCAATGGCAACGTTGTATAGAAAAAACAGCGCGCGAGACTGTGTATCAGCAATTCTAAAGATATGTTCAATTTAAAATTATTTTGCGATATTGCTCTTGAACTGAAGTTTATGGTTTCCGTGCTAATGAATAAATAAAGGTAACACTCAAAATGTTTTAAAAACGTCCCTTTGGACGTAATTTAAAATCTGAAAACTTTCAGATTTTTTTTATTATTATATTTACTCGAATATAATGTACAGAAGAATCAAAATTATATAAAATATTTTTAAAAGCTGAAATAACGCTTTTCAAATGAAGTGTATTGTGATAGCGACTTTGGCTCAATAGTAGAACTGGGACTGAAATTTTAAAGAGAATGCTGTTGTTCTCTGACCACTTTGTATCCCTGCTCTGACGGCTGTGTATCTCAATGTTTAATTGCTAAAGGTTTTCGGGGTTCCTTGTCATCTTGATATTATTTGAATCAGCATTTACCAAGCAAGTCTAGAATAAATTATGTGGTACCAAGCATTGTATCCTCATATGTGATTTTATCCTCGATAGTTTAATTTTATAATTTCCAGTACGTTATTTTGTTTTTAAGTGTTTTTAACAACCCTATTGTTTAATAATTAAGCATAGAAAATTAAATATAAATTATTTATTCTTCTGTTTTATAGTTTTTTCATATATTTTGACTAAAGCTATTTTATTTTTCAGGTTATAGTGGAAGGGATTGGTTCGAATACCATTAGCTTCAATTTTTTTTTTCCCATTAAAGAATTATAAAGCATCATCAACAACGAGGACACATATCGTCGAACAAGTATCTCTTCACGTCTATGCCCCCTGCGCCAGTCCGTCTACATAGGGAAAACACAATATCTCTGGAGCGTAAGATACATGTGTGCGATGCCTGCACCGGGAATCGTCATCATTGCAAATGACGGGATACATTGTCGCCGCAGACATATTTGGCGACAGTCAATGAAATTGCGTATGGAAATCACATATCCGAAAAGAAATAGTGGCTATTCTCATGGCATAGCTTACTGAACAATATGTCATGAATCGTTTGGTATTTAGTTCTTATTTTAAAAAACTTAAATTTTGATGCGATATTTCTTTCGGATCATAATTTACGACTGATTTCTTTACAGTAGAATATTTTTTCACCTTGATACAAATTATTTGCACCATAAGATACAGAGCGTCGCTATTTTTACCTCATTTGTTAGGATTTACTAAATCATACAGAATATTTTTCCTCTTTATTACTATATGATTACGTTCTAAGAAGTCTGACAATCAAGAAAAGGTAAATTTATCCACCGTTTACATTTGATTACATATCCGATTCCCATTTTTCACGTGTTGGGTTAGGTATAACTGGCTCTAAAGGAAGCATTTTAATCACGAAAAATTCCGGGTATCATATTTCAAAGAGAATGCCCATTTTGACCGTTATCAAATGCAATTTAACAATGTTTTTGAGTGATCTCTGTACATAAGGGCAGTATAAAAGACTCCCCAAACGGATTATAAAATTCATTTAAAATTGATTCAGAACAGACTTTTTTCGTGACGTCTGTACGTACGTACGTATGTATGTATCTCGCATAATTAAAAAACGAGTAGCCTCAGAACGTTGAAATTTTGTATATAGGACTGCTATAACATGTGATTGTGCACCTCTCGTTTTGGTTGCAATCAGTCGCACCAAAAGTATAAATATATATATCCATACTGTTACTCGGCTATGTGAGCTTCGTTTTTTTTTTTAGTCTTATATGCTGGTAAATTGTGCAGTTTTTGCTTTATAAATGGTTGAATTATGCTGCGTTTATCTTCCGGTTAAGGTTTTTATTCTTTTAGTTAATCTGCAGGCAATAGTTGTAGAATTATCAACAAGATAATAGTTGTTCAAGTTTTTGTTTTTGTTTAGCATAGCAGCCATGTTTGCTTACATTTGAAACTTAGCAGAATAGTGACTTAAATCTGTTTTTGCACCTTTAATTTTTTTTTTTTTTATTTTTTTATTTTTACCCGAGTGGTCCCAAAAGTTAACTTTCTGTTTTGTGCCCCGAAAAATGTGCCTGTTGCTTGCTGTCCGAATTTCTTATTTTTGCTCAGAAAATCTTAATTTTAATTGTAAAAAATGCTTTTTTTAATATTTTAACTTTATTTTGTGTTTTATTTTTCCATAGTTTTCAATTTTAAGTGAAGATATTTTGATGTTTTATGCATTTTTGCCTTACCACGAAGCGAGAACTGAAGTAATTGAATGAGAAATATATCTCTAATGAAATTCGAGGAAATAAGTTTAAATGAAATGCAGCAAAAAATGCGTATAATTTAATACTCGTGTACAAGGAAGTCATACATCAGATTTTTTAGTTATTTACAAAATGATAAAATTTGGTTTATTCGCATTTTCATTTTCTATTACTTTCTGTCTGCTACTAAGCCTTCTGTTTACTATTACTAATCTTCTTCTTATTATTAAAACTTATTTAATAAAATAAGCCTTGAAAAAGGCATTGAAAATTTTGAAAATTATTATGTTTGTTCTGAGACTGATGAAGGTCTCTTATTGGATGCAAACATCATCATTTGCTTTGTGTGCTCCGACTGGCTTAGTAGCTCAGAGCAACTTAGTTACAAAATTCCATTGTGTAGACGAAATGCTATAAGGCGACCTATCTGAAAGGGATATTTGTTCATAGATATACCTCCTGGTGTAGACTTCAGAGAACGTAACGTCAAAATCCATAACTAATATTAATCACACTTTTGCCATTTCAATTCAACAATATTAAATAAGTTTAACGATAACTTCAAAATTTAGAAAACAGCCTACAACGTTCTGCAATATGAAACCTGAAGAATTTTAGCTGGAATTATTCCATATGGCCAAGCTAGTACTTAAAAAACAATAAATGGACTATTTTCAGCTTTTTTTCGACTGCCATTTACAGTTTTATCATTAGCTTATGCTAGAACGTCTACATAAAAATAGATTACAAGAGCCTAAAAACTCTTTATTGCAAAATATTCTTAGAGATACTGATGATAATATATATTTAATATAAGCAATATTTTACTGCATGACATCTTTGAATATAATTTGCGAGCATTGCAGTATATCTCATAGATTGTTACAAAACGTTGTTCGTATTTATTTCAAGAAATATTCTATCGGTTACAGTGATTGTTCAAAAGCAGAAGAAGGTTCTTTTTGATAAAATATACGGAAGAAAAACTGCTTAGATATCGTCTTTAGGTGATGGAGAATGTTTGAATTAATAATAACAAACAGAAGTTTTAACCTAGTACACTTATAATATAAATCTCATTACATTTACAATAAAGTTAGTTCATTTTTTGACATCTATTCATGTGTAGCCTTTTTAAATCTGACGATGCATATTTCTAGGACGGAATAGGCACACGCTGTCAATATAAAAGCCAAAAATAATGAGAAAGAGAAAAGCACTTACAATAAACGACAGCTTTGACGAAGGCGACCAAAGGCATTTGTGTGGCAGTGTTATTAGCTTCGCACTTGTATACCATTCCATTATCACTGGGTTCCACTCGGATAACAAGTTCGCTGGACACCCCACTTCCTGTCTTTATCGTCGGAGTACTAATCTGGGGAAACAGAAAAAGAAAAAAAAATTCCAGAAGCATAATTTAAAACGAGTTTTAGAGTTTTAAAAATGAAACAAAGACTTTAGAAGCGGGGCACCTTGTCTTTGTTGCCTTGAAATAAAGGACAGCATGTTAAAGTTTGCATAAGACTGAAAGCTATGCAAAAAATGTGTTGAAATAAATATGTTCTAAACATTCTAGCACATAAATGCTCATTTGAGTAATAACAATTTATCTGCCTTTTGAGATTTCTAAATGCAAAGCGTGATTTATTCAAAATAAATAACATTTCTTATGGCAGATAGCAGCATATGATTGCATAGTAAAGACTTGATAAAAAACAACTCACTTATGTAATTCATTTCCATGATTATGTCATGTAAAGAACTTCATTTGATGTTTCATTTTAGTTTCCCTTTGTTTTCTTTTATTGTATTTGTATTTTCACAGTTTCAATGTTTAAATTCTAAACATTAAATAACATTGAAAAATATTAGAACACATTCTTTTTAAAAAACTTATTATCAAATGTGCACATACACATACGTATAATATACATATATGTAATTGTAATTTTAGAATCTATGACTTAACTCAAACCACACTTAAAAATATATTTGCTCCCTTAAATATTTTTCTATTTAGTAAGAATGAGTCCCGGACCGCCCGGTGGCGAAGTGGCTAACGCGTGGCGCAATTGCGCAACAGGTCCGGGGTTCGACCCCGGGCTGGGCAAGTTTGACTCAGCCTTTCTTCTCTTGAGTGGGTCGATAAAATGAGTACCAAGTTCGCTTGAGGACAAAACACTGGAGGGCACTGGTGCAGGAGTGCTCGTTCGGGATGGAATTATTCTGGGTTCCAGAACTGACCTGCATGTTCAAATTGGAACCATGACAAGCCAAATCTATCGGGACGTCATTCTGGAAAAACATGTACGTTCGTTTCGGGGCGCCATGGGCGTACAATTTGTGTTTATGGATGAAAAGCCCGTCCTCACCGTGCAAACATCATAAGCGAATGCCTTCAATCGGAGGATATCAGCCGTATGGACTGGCCAGCATTCTCACCGGACATGAATCCAGTTGAGCACGTGTGGGACATGCTTGGCCGACGACTTGCAGGCAGTCAACCTCCTCCTACATGTCTACCGGAACTTCGGAGATCATTGCTTTTTGAGTGGTGTAATTTCCCCCAAGATCAGATCGATAATTTGATACTCAGCATGCCTAGGCGTTGAACGGACTGTATTGCATCGTCTGAGAGACATACAATGTATTAACAATCATACCAACCACGTAATATTGTTTTTTGTAAATAGTTTTTTTTTTTTTGTAAATAGGTTTTTTTTTTTTTTTTTTTTTTTTTTTTTTTTTTTGTAATTTGCTCCAGGGAGACAAAATCGCTAATTTTTTTAAAAATATCAAACATATAGTATCCTTTTTTGCTCTTTACCTTTTGTTTAATAAATAAGCTTTACAAATAAGTCAAATTTGTTTTGCTTCTAACTCTTCCTTTGCCTGATTTTGCATTATCCTTAATTTATGGACATGAGTGTAATTAGTATTAAGTAACTTATTAGCTTGCGAAATGATGTCATTAATATAAAACTGTGTAATAAGAAAATCACATGGGCATTCACTTAAAGTAATTCTATTCCATTTATAGCAGTTTTAGAGTCTGATTTTCTATATATGTGGTAATTGATAAAAAATAATAATTCTGAACAGCTAAAGCAGTGATTAATTATTTTACATTCTGATAAGCTAAAGCAGTGATTAATTATTTTACATTCTGCTCAGTTACTGCAGTGGTTAATTTCCTAACATTTTTATACTTTTAATATTTCATCATAACCAGAACTTTGTTACAGTAATAGTATTCAGTCTCCTCTTCATCATTTAAACAAGCATTTTCTTTCCGAAAATGGACTATGGTAAAGCATACAGGGTCTGTCTTCACACGGAGGAAGGACGCTTTCGTATAGGAATTTCGAAGGATAACTAATTATTATTCGCATTTTACTTAAGGAAACCACGAAAACACTCATGCATTTCAACTGGTAACTAATATTCTAACTTGAGTTGAATAGGCTGTTATCGGTGATCAGTTATTTCACACTACAAACTTACTGTATATGTAGCATTGTGAGGCATGCATACTGCCCACCAGCGGCCGAGCGGTAAAGACGCTGAACACTGGTAGTTCGGTCCGAGGTTCGAATCCCGCGAACGGGCTGGCTGCATGGGCGTTTTCGTGGTTTTCCCCATGTGTAACGTGTATACGAGCCAGTTTCCCTTAGAAAGTCCTCCACGAAAGGCATCCCTCCCCTCAGGCTAGATAGCCCTAGCGTGCTTTGCCATAATTAAACACACACCAGAGGCATGCATACTGTAATTGCGAGTTAAAATTAACAAACATGCAATTGATAATTTCTCGTAACGATCTAATCTCGTCATTTAATCTTTGAATCATTGATTGATTATATACACTTTCAGTTTCTTCTCTGGATGGTATAAGAAAAGATAGTAATGTTAAATATCAATGATATTTCAGTTGTTTAAGATATTAGCAAAGGCCTTTATTATCGCCATCAAATACATTCAGAATGCTAAAACATATTATGTTGCGCCCTATTTTTTTTATAAATGTTTTATTACGATGAACAGAGCATCCTTTACTTCTGCAAGCAGTTTGAATAAGGAGGTTGACATCTGTTGATTCATCATATTCAACTTAATTTCTATAGACAGACCTAAAAACACTACAACATTTGCACATGAAACATTTTGCTTAGTTTGAATTTCAAATTTTCAGCGTATGTCTTCAAAATTATACTTGTAAATTTCAGGTGATTATGCTGAAAGGTTTTTAAAGGGCATTGAAACATTAAAATTATTTAAATATTTTTGTAGCTGTATTTCAGTAGAAATGAATACAAAACGAGGATACCCTATAATTTATTTTCTTCCTCCTTTCAGGATGCCTTCGTGGTGTAACGGTCGCACAGTATTCGAGAGGTCTAGGTACGAGGCTTTCGCACATTTTTCATGTCTCCTGCTTCAAAATGTCCTATGACTTTACAACCCTTTAACATTCCCCAGTGCTATGAAATGTATTATTAGATAGAAAATAGCCGTAGATGCAGAGAACGAATTCGTCACAATTGAAAGGGAAACATATAAATACCTTAATTAATGCAGAACGTTATAAAACATGTACAATCGTTCACTTATTATTTGATATAAGCTGTTTTCCTATTTTAAATATAATAAATATGTTCATTACTTATTTTATACCATGACTAGTTATTACAAAATAATACGATTTATTAAATATCTTCATTCGCAAACGTACGGGAATATTTACTCTATTACTTGGGAATATAAAAGTATGAGAATATTTACTCTATCACTTGGGAATATAAACGTATGGGAATATTTACTCTATCGCTTGGGAATATAAACGTATGGGAATATTTACACTATCTAATTGCTCTTTTTGAAGCAGAACGAGATACGTCTGATGGTTTAGAACTCAATTTATACGAAAATGTATTTGAAATAGTATTCTAATCTGTCTTTTTTTGGAGGAGGTATGGAAGTATAATTTTAATGAAGACCACATATTATTTTATGACTAACATGAGCTTAAGGAAAAATTTTATACGACAGGCAATAAGTTTTATTGCGATTTCTTGCCAGCATAAGACAATGAACTTTGTTATAAGTATTCAATTAAGTAAAATTAATTAGCTTTTTTAAAATATGTACACTGAACCGTTTTATCTTTATGATTAACTTAAATCTGTAAACGAAATAGCATTTCATAAATATTCATCGACATAAATTTTGTTATTTTCTACAGCAACATAAATCAGAGAAAAAATGAAACATGTTAAAAATCAAGAACATACTTAAATATATAAGGCCAAAAATAAAAATAGATTGTTCCGTATGATTAGAATGGATGGAATCCGGGTAATTTCAGTTTGGATAACAGACCATTTGTTTTACTGTTAAAGATTTCTGTGTATTTGTTCCGGACAATGGGTTAGATTTTAATTGCCTAAGTTTGACATTTATCAAAATTCTTTAAAATTAAATACAGTTGTTATGATTCCCCATTAATTAGCGGAATATTTGTTTTCCAGCCAGAATAATGTAAGCGATCGTTTTGTAAAGTGATATACTATAGTGTGTAAATTAATTGGGATAAAGCTATTTGTTTTCACAGAATTTGAAGTTGATTGTCAGCTGGCGGTTACTCAAAGCTGTTTTACGTGCTTTAATGTCATCTAGATGTCTGCTTTGAACTATTATAACTGGTATAGACAGTAAAAATTAGCGTTATTTTTAAGCTTATTTCTTTGAGAAGAGGAAGTTACAAAGTGTATACTATTTAAGTATGTTTAGCATTCGTTCATTTTAGTATACTAAACATGGATATAACGCCTATAAAGAGAACAAAACATCGCACTTAAGAGTCTCACATCCATCGCTATAGGAAATATTGCTTCCGCGACTGATGCTGAAAAATTGAGCGTTTCTTGAATTCTGAGGAGAATCAATGAAACTGCATAATTTTTTCCACAAAGGAAGGGCTAATGTGGAAAGAAAAAGAAACAACTCTATACTCTGACCGAATCCTACTCCTGAATAGTATTACTAATCCAACAAAAAACCGGCAGATAACTTACAATAGATTTATTGCTTATTTGTATGGATATTTATCATACAAATGTGCGGCGTAGACTTCTCACTGCTAGTCGAAAGGCGAGATAGCCAATTAAAAATCAACTTTTTACACGTCAAGTGAAGCAAAAATGGTTATTATAGCCTCAAAATACAAATCTTGGACCTTAAATAACTGGAAAAATATAATATTTAGCGATGAAACTCATTTATTTGTTCATGGTTGAGGAAGCAAACGTGAATCAATGAGACATCAACATACCCAAAAAAACAGCAAGTTACCCTCAAATACAAATGTTTCCTCCTGCA